TTTTTTTCTTTTTGCTTATGTGGTGCTGAGGAATTGAACCCAGGGCCTCAGGCATGCAAGGCAAGCGCTCTACCACTGAGCCACCTTCCCAGCCCAAAGATAACTTTCTTAAAGGAAAAAAAGTACCAGATAATTAATTTAGTGTATATGGGGCTGGGAATTCAAAAAAGGAACTCTAAAACTCCAAAGGTCATTCAACTAAATCATGAAATAAAAATTAGCAGAGAATAAAAAGTCAAAGAGTACCCACAAATGTGAGGGGGAAAAAACCTGCTTAACTTTAAGATTAATAAAGGAAAAAGAAAAAAATAAAGGAAAAAGAAGATAGAGCTGTTTTTCTGTAAAGATTGGCAGGATGAAGAGACTGAAGCCAACGGAGCTGGCCCTGCCTGCCGGGGCCGGCGGACGCGGGCCCTGGGTGTGCTGGAGGTATGAGAAGGGCATCGATTGCTGCCGGCAGTGAGGATGAGTGAGAAGAGACACTGCTCTATTTGAATCATCCAACCACTTATGTATTTTATTGTTTAAATCAAGCGGATTTTAAAATTCTATTTTTGTTTTCTTTTTGGTGCCAGTGCTGGGGCTTGAACTGAGTTTTATAATCTTAATTCTTCTTTCCATTCAAGGCTGGCACTTTATCGCTTGAACCACACCTCCACTTCAGCTTTTTGCCAGTTAATTGGAGACAAGATTTCTCAGATTTGTCTACACAGGCTGGCTTCACACCTTGATCCTTAGATCTCAGCCTCCTGAGTAGCTAGTATTACAGACATGAGCCACCAGCTTGTGGCGCAAGAGATTTTTAATGATTTCCTGACTTGCAAAATGTACCCAGTAAAACAAAGTTGTTTCATCAAATCTCTGTGGAAAGATGTGTTTTCCCACCATGCCCTGTTTTACTCTGATTATCCTGCCTGCTCCCATGAGGCGGTAGTGCTCGCCTCGCGAGACCCCTTGGCATTCGGCTGCTCCCAGTACATGCATGCATTCCTCCCCCCTCTTCCTCTTCTTGGTGGTGCTTGGGTTTGAACTCTTGTTTGCTGTGCATGCATTCTGCCTGTTGAGCTTTGCCTCTAGTCCATGTACCTCTCCTTGCAGGCCTTCCTCATTGGAGGCCGGCCACCTGCTGAGCAGGTGGTGGGAAGAATAGGAACCAGCAATGGCCATGGTGCATGGAGCCTCCCAGGGCCTCTTGGGTGCTGAGGGGTGTCCATTCTGGCCTTTCTATGCCTTTATGGCTTCTGCCCCCATAGGATTTGTTGCCCTGGACCTGGTAAAGTATGTTGTGTTGTTTTTCATGCCCTCCAACATGGGAATGGCTGAACCATGGTTGCTTTTTCTTTAATAAGCATTTCTTTATTTGTTGGTTCCAGTCACCAATTGACCTTTGTCGCTTCCTTCCCCGTCTCTGCTTCGCTGGATGCCGCCCAGGGGAGTTCTCAGGTGTGTATCTCCCCTCTGTCTCCGTGTGTCCCTCCTCTCACTGTGGGGGGCAGCTGGAGCAGGGCGCACACACGGATGCTCCCCTGCGCTGTCCGTCACCCCGGGATGTCCACACTGACCCCTGCTGTCCATCACTGAGGGCTATACACACTGACCCTCACTGCTCATGGAAGCCCAGGGCTGTCCACACTGATCCCTGGCTTCTATCTGGCTGCCCCAGGCCACCAGGCCCTGGGCTTTGATCACAGCCTTCGGCTATCTGAAGATGATTAGGTTTGCTCAGCTGGTCACCAGACCCTCCATAGGTATCTCCACTTCCATTAGGGACAGAGGGTATTTTTTAATGTACCCTATGAAGTGCACCTCACAAGTCTAGGGTCCCCTGAGGCCCTTCCCAGCACAGCTCAGGGCCTCTGTCCTGGGCAGGTGGCCAGGCTACACAGCTGAACTGCAGCTGGAGGCCTTGCGGGCTCCCTGCCCCGCCCTCCCCGCGTGCCCGCTAGTGTGCACAGTAGCAGCCAAACCCCTGGCACTGCTCCCCTCCCTCGTCGGTGTCTTCGCCTGCCCTCTAGCCCAGCATGTGACGAGATGTTACTGCACTCATGGGTGGTTCTGGCTTGGCAGTCCGCTGCGCATCCAAGGATACTTTGTGGACGGAGTAGCCTGCTCTATCCCGCCTCCTGCCCTGAAGTACCACCCACCTGCTACTTCCACGGCTTAACGCTTCTTTTCTCTCCCTCCTCCCTGCCCCGTTGCCCGTCTCCCGTGGGACTGGGACGCTCCCGTAGTGCGCGATGATTTTTTTGGTAAGGCCAAGGCCCTGCTTCGGTGTGTGCTTCTCTCTTCCTAGCTTCCTCTCTACCCAGCATCTCATGCTTCATGAGCCGTTCGCTTTGTGCTGCATGGTGGGGGTAGCAGGGCTCAGCGGGGGCCATGGGCTTTCTGAACACTGTAGGACTGGGGTTAGGTGACACTCCCTCTAGGACAAACTGTGGTTGGTTGGCCCTGAGCCTCCCAGACCCTGCCTGTTCCCCTTGGGTCCACGCTGTGCCTGCCCAGGGAGAAGCTGCGCATGCTCCCAGTGTGGTAGGCCAGAATGGACAGTGGCAGGACTCTTGCCCCAGGCATCATCACGTCACTGCCTTGGGAGTGGGGGTGGGCTGGGCCCTGGCGCTTGGCGCTGTCTTGAGGATCTCGCTGTATTCTTCCTGGCTAATGGGACATGCCTGCAGGGAGCTCCGTCTGGGGGTCTGCTTGGGGCGGATCCCTTCCTCCTCATGTCCACTCCGCCCTCTGCGTCCTGGTGTCCCCCCATCCAGGACCAGCAGGCCCTGCTTGTAACCCCAAGGACTGTACCTGCCATGGGTCATCCCACCACGTGGCCAGCTTTTCCAAGTCCTGTGCTGTTGTCATCTGTCCTGGCACTGCTGCTCCACCATGCATTCATTTGGCGGGGAGTGGGGATCTGAAAGTCACCTGCAGATCTGGGGGAGGGGTGCACATAAAGCAGCTGCCCAGAGGACAGTTGGGGTCTTGATAGTACACGTCCCGTCGTGGGGAAGTTATGAGAAGTAAAATACCCAAAGCCCCGGGTGTGAGTCCCAGGCCGCCAGTTCTACCAGCACAGCCGGCTGGAGAGCACAGGCTGCATGGGCCTCTCCACGGCTCGGTTTCCCTGTCCTCACCCCTTCAGCTGTCATCAGAGCACAGGAAGGTTCCTTACGAGGGCGGAGTCAGGTACGGTAGTCACAGGCTCAGGGAGAACCACACCTCTCATTTCAGGAATGGGCAAAGAAGTGGGAAACCTGCTGTTGGAAAATTCACAGCTCCTAGAAACCAAGTAAGAGACCTGTGCTACAGCTGGGCAGCCTTTGGCCCGGCTGCAACCTGCCCCAGGGCAGGGCCCACTGGAGGGGCCCTGGCTCACACAGCAGGGCTCACCTTCCTGGGTGGATGTCCACACAGACAGGACCATTTCTGTCAGCTTGTCTGGGAGGGGGAGGTGTGTCACTGGACTGCGGTTCATTCCTTTAGTAGGACTTGGAGACAGGGGGACCCCGGAATCCAGTGCTGAGGGTAGACAGGCGGGTGTGCCTTCTGAGATGGGAAGGTGCACTCGGACCCCCAGCATCTCAGTTACATAGTACATGTGGGCTCATGGCGAGCCCCTCTTTCTGCTTTCTGAAGGAACGCTTTGAACGTGGTGAAGAATGACCTCATTGCCAAGGTTGACCAGCTGACCGGGGAGCAGGAGGTGCTGAAAGGAGAGCTGGAAGCTGCCAAGCAGGCCAAGGCCAGACTGGAGACCCGCGTCAAGGAGCTGGAGGAAGAGCTAAAACGGTGAGGGGCTCTCGGCTCACAGTGCGGCCCCGGCGCTGACACCTCCACAGCCTGCCTCTCCTCTGCATGTCCTCCTCAAATCCTGCCTCCCCGAGTACCTCAACTTCCTCTCGGCTTTGGCTCCAGATCCAACCAATGTCTCCTCTGGAGCCCGCCATGCTATGGCCAGGTGCAGCATCCGTCCTGTGTGACCCTCTGGTATCAGTCTTAGCACAGCTCTCACCCTGTTCATTCAGGAGGAGGGGCCCTGGAAATCGGGTCTACTCTGGACTTGTCTGACCAGCTCTGGCCTGCCCCGCCGTCCCTCATTTCAATCTTTTTCAGCCTTTGCCCCCCTCCTCTTTGGTGAAAGCAGTCAGAGATCTGGGCTTTGAGGCCCTGTGAAGCAGGTGTTGGGATTGCTGTGGGACAGGCATGAGCTCTGGGCAGTCCTGAGGCCCGGGTCGGATGCTCACCTGCCTGCTTCCTCCCTTGTCTACAGAGTGAAGTCTGAGGCTGTCATTGCCCGTCGTGAGCCCAGAGAAGAGGTGGAGGATACAAGCAGCTATCTCTGTACAGAACTGGTATATGCTACTACTAACCGCACACAGGGCCGGGAAGGGGGGAGGTGGGGGGGCAGGGGCACAGGGCAGGGGCACAGGGCAGGCTTCCTGGGCTTCCCCCTCCCACAGGACCCCCGAACCTCCCTTCCTGGCTTTCCGTATTCCCAGTGTCACACTCCTTCGGCAGGTCCTGCCCAGAGTGACCCCAGTCCTCATCCTACAGGTGATCTTAGCTAAAAGGCCAAGAAACAATATATAGATTCCTCTTTGAAATTATGTTTTGGTGGTCTAGGGTTTGGACTCAGTGGCTCAAGCTTGCTAGGCATATGCTCTGCCACTTTAGTCCCGTCTCAGCCCCTGTCCTGGTGGGCGCCTTCTCCAGTTACAAGCAGGTCTCCCTGTCCTGGTGGGCGCCTTCTCCAGTTACAAGC